ATATCAGTTTATTTATTGTAGAATCACTAGGAAGCCTACAGAGATGAAGCCAATCTTGTTTTGAATGACGATGAACGTTTCGCAGTTAAATTATCCAGTTAAACATACAAAACTTAGAAACAAGTGACAGCTTTTTCAGACGTTACTAACCACTTAGGTGTAAAGAAACCAAAAGGATAACGATATTGATTCACCTAGGCTAGTAGTTACATCATAACGTAATTGGTAAAATGTGGCTTACACTTTTGTAGTAAACGAGAACTTAAATGGGGACAATCGAATGTATCTAAACACTAAATTACAGAACATCTTGGTATAATATAAGAAGAACCACACAGTGAATAATTCATTTACAAAATGTCAATCAACTGTCTCAAACTTGACTGTTCCTTTTGCAAGCATCATTCAATTGATTCAGACTTCATTGTCCTCGCATTTTCATTCCAATTGCTTTCTGTTCCCGTTCTTGCCTTCTCGTCCTTCTCCTGCTGGACATTCTAATCCCGACCAAAAGTTATATACTACTCATGTCAATATAAGTAACACACACCATACTGTTACTACGATATCAATAAATGTACATACGATGTTTTGTTGGTTTATTCATACTCTTTAACATTATTATCCAGATTCATTATCCATTGACTGTTTGTTTAGCCAAATGTGGAAAAAGTTTCCATTAATTTTGATGAACTAGCGACTTTTGCAAAAACCGAGTTTTATTTGTATATTTATACTACTTGTATATACCTGAAGTAGTCAGACTATGTAGTTAAACAGAATTACCTTATTGAATCATCATTAGAAGTTCACTATACTTTCATTAGTTAGTAAGTTGATGTCATTTATGTAATCAACACCGATTTAAATGTAATCTTTCCTCTACTACTGATCAAGACTAATCTGATTAAAATAACATTTTATAAGTAGAGCTGAGTAGTGGCTAGCAGTGGAATTCGCGACACGTTATATGTACCTGTACCCAAGTGTTGTTAGTCAAACAGAGTCGAAACAGTAATTCTTGCTTCAAACACCTAATGCATTATCCACGATATGCATTATAATTCATTTTTATTGTTTGTTTGAATCTTCTCATTGAAGTTATAAACCGAAAATGACTAGTCGCTTTTGGTACGTACATTCACATTACGAGACCTGAATAGAACAAAAAGCGCGTTAGTTTCTATCTTCCCCATTGTCATTTAAGACTGTAATTGAGTGAACATCAATTCTGAAATGCAGCTACATCCAGCTGACAAGTTCCAAATAGGACGAAACGCACATTGTGGATTCCACTGTTAGCCACTATTTATCTTTTTGCTTATAAAGAATAAAAACGGAACTATTTTATTTATTCAATCGTTATTAAATTTAGTGATTTATTAATTATTATGCCTTTGAGAGTTGACTTTCTCTTTATCTGTTTATCTCAATGTAACTACAATGTACACAGGTATATTGTATGTAAAAATTGAAACAAAATAACTTCCCCCCCCCCGAAATAAGTTCATCGAATTTCGTACGCGCATACACTCTTGTTCACCTGTCCGCCAACTAATTTCGAAAACATGTTAGTTACTTTAAACAATACTCATGTATCAATATAATTTCCTTTAAAGAAACTGGGATTTATTATTATTGTTAGCTTTATGTTTCCTCTGTGAATTTCTATGGAGGAGGTGAGGAATCTAAGTAATAACAATAATGTTACTAAGGGTTACAAAAACAGAACAGAAATGAAAATAAAAGTTCATAAAACGAAAAACAAAACAATTTGAAATTTGTACCGTTTATTTATCTTAGTCGTTTGTCCATATCTTTGTATGTGTATATATGTTTGCTTGTAACTATGTATCCATGTGTTAAGATAGGGATATGTTGAGTACAGCATTCATAATAAGAAGAAGAATGAGAATGATCTTTAAAGAGTAATTTCGATTTATTAAATGAATACCTGCATACACAGAAATATATTCAAATATTTCTGGCTAAAAAGATGAACATAAACAGAATATATTTAATGAATGATGGCTGACAATGGAAACCAGGATACATGTTTCATCTCATTTTGAACTTATCAACTCGATATACAGCCAACATACACTCACAAACTCGAATTCAATGCTGTTCGCCCGAAACATCATTGTGTCTATCAACTTAACTACTAAGTTCAGATAGCTACTGGCTTGTGCAATGGGGTGAAGTGTAGTTCATTTGTATTTGTCCCAGAATAAATATTGATTTTGAGACTCAGGTAAATCCAGCTGATGAGTCCCAAATCAGATGAAACACGCGTACTGGATACCAGTGCAAGCCATTATCCATCTCTTAATTAAAAAGAATATTGCTTGTGACCTAGTGGCAAATATTGAGGGATTCTGCCAATAATGTACACATGCTGAAAAGACTGATCAACTACAGTTCTAGACATCAATGGAAATATTTATATAACTATATACATATAAAGATTATGAAGAGAAATTAAGGGATTCCACAACTATTATTACTCATATTACTACTATATTCACATTATTTTACTACTGCGAAGCTGACACTCCTCAAATTAGAAAGGTTATTTTAAATCGAAGTAATTATTATGTTGATGCACAATATAAATTCTTTGAAAAAAAACAATGATAATTCAAACACAAGCAAACATCGTTCATCAACATCCACAATGTCAGTGATTATGCTCTCGATCTGAATCAATATTCAATCAACAACAACAACAACGCTTATTCACATATCCCAACATCGCATAAACACACACAGATAACTCATTCGAATATGCATTACGAGTAACACGATACATTCTACTGAACAACTCACTACAAATTCAAAATCATTATCAACATTTCTCATAGTCACTAGCAATAAAGACAAAATGATCAATTGATTCATACATTCACTTGTCAATCTACCACAAACTCATCAACATCACATCATTCATCATCGGAAACACATCAAACATCAAACTTCAATCAGAATGATTGTACACTCATCTCCACAAAGCATCACTCTCACATTCCAATCTCCATCAATCCAATTATTCACATTCTCACACAAATGAATTAAGTTCGTGTTACTCTAAACATTCTCACTTGTCCGTTCGTTATTGCATCATACTCAACTATCATCAAATAACTCAATGTTCTTTCACTAGATCACTGATACATGTTGCAGTGTGATCTCCATCAACCACTACATTTTACGTATGTAGAGTTGTGGTTGAGAGTTCGCAGTGGATATTTCAGATGGCAGTAGTACAACATACTGAATGAAATAACACAAATATGATGATGATTATGAAAGTGGGATATTGAAATGAAATTTCTAATGGAACCACTCTCACATACATCCACTCATCCACTCAATGAATAAATGAATGGTTGAAAAGTGAACATGTTGTAGATGGTTCTATAAACCAACTATCGATCACCATATTCCGAAACTGTCAATGTGATCGCAACGAAATGGATGATAATTTAATGCGAGTCATTTGAATTACTTAAAAAGTGAGTGACTGTTACCACTGTTACTTTTGTACTGATATAATCAATGAAATAAATAAGAATGGAGATTATTATGATTGATGAAATATATTTGTGTTGTAGTATTGTAATGAAAATGATAGTTTGTTGGAAGAATACGTGAGGTTGTGGGTTGATTTAAGGTATTTTGTATTTGACGTCCATGTAGTGAATAAAGACTGATGATGTTCTGTTATGTCATGAGTAGGAAAGTTTTAAGAGAAATTTTACTCAATTATTTTAACAATTTAATGTTTAAATGATTGAGATGGAATGACTGTACTCTATTGTTGAATGTCTTCTATTGTAGTTTTGACTAGATAATTGTGAGGACGACCCTCAATTGAACTCAAGGAAGCTCTAGTTTATTGAAATAATAACGGTTACTAAAGTTTTTAAATACTAGATATTTTAAGCTGTTGATAAGTAAATCACCTCAAGCTGATTTGTTGTTGGGTATAAGTGTGTATGTTCATTTTTCTAGGTATGTTTTAATCGTTATTATACAACTCCTACTTTCATACATTTTAATTAGATCGATTGTTATAACCTTGATTACTGTAGGAAAAGAATTAGTAAATTAATATTTCCCACTAAGTTCGTGAATCGATCTATGCTGTACCAACATTGAGAGCCTGTAAGCACTGGATAGCCGTTTCGTCCTAGTATGAGACTATTTATTATTGAGCGTACGTGACCCTTCGATCTTCGGACTGTCGGTCTCACGCGAGAACGCTTAGTGTGCGGACCAGTGATCTGTCAATCAACTGTTTTAATATCTAATTTCAATGAATCCACGATATTGCGTGACCGTCTTCCATTGTCTTCGTTGGGTGACTTCTTCACACGTTACACGGTTTAGCTCTACTCTGCACAGCTTCGCATGTCCTCTCCAAGCTATTCATCAGTGAGCACACGATACTAGTCATGATCTTGATGAAATTCAACAAATTACACGAAGTCCTACCACTGATACCCAAAAATTTTATTAAAAACTTTTAACTTAATGAAGATATCGAAATAATCCATTCACAATCAACTTTATTTCCCAATATAAGATAATATAAAATCCTTATAAATAATTGATTTCACTTAAATTATTCTAATTAACTTTCCAAATTACAGTTAAACAAACCGTCTCATTCAATGTTTCATTATACTAATTATTGATACTTCGGACGACCTTTGAACGACACCATACTGACCTTGAGAATATCCACCTACTAATTAGGATGAAACGAGAGTTATAATTTTATTTATTTATTTATTTGAACACATAGATATTGGTGCAAGGGGGCACCAGATACATATGCGCCACACAAATCTCATTTGATTTGTATGAGGGCTGTGATACTGACCGGATGCTCAAACCGAAACAGATGGTTTACTTTGGGGGCCACACCTGGAGCCTTCGACCTAAAAGTCTAATCCACAAGGCAGTAGAGCATCGTAAGGAGATGCAATCTCACGGTAGCCGGTGACCAACGATTGGTTCATACGCTATTTTTCCCTCAGAATACTGGAACCGATGAGAGTTATAAACTATTATGAGGAATTAAAATTATAATTAAGATTTGGATTTAAGGTTTTCATCATGAATGAAAATCAACTGAAATGTCAAAACTCAATCTAACCAAAATGAATGAATGAATTTCGCGCGGCAAAATTCATGACCTTCTAACTTAAATCTGATTGGCTCATTTATAAATTATAGTCTCGCCAATTTATTTAACTACATTTTGATTAGTTGATGGTATAAGACAAATTAGTGATTGTAACTTTGGAACAAAAATTATAATTTACATTGATGTACGTAAAACGGTAATGATTTTCAAGAAGAAAAAAAAACAAAAAAAATAGGAAAGAAAATTCAGGGAAATTTATACATTTCTAATAAACAATGTAATATTTAAACAATAATCTATGCATAGCAACAGATTTAACACAATTAAGGGAGGTGTTTAATACATGGAATTTAAAGGAAAAAAGAAATGAATTTTATTCATAATAATAATAATAATAATGAGTACAATGTATTGCGATCCTCATGTACAACTGCTAGTAATGAAGATAATGATGGGATTTATTCAGATGAAACAGAGAGTATGATTAATCATGCAAGAAGTTCACCAATGAATGATAGTATAGATACAATTGCAAATACAATTAGGATAACACCACCACCAACACCATCAACAGCAATAACACCAACAACAACACCACCGTTGACATCAAAAAGTAACACTGATGATGATGATGATCATAGTGAACGAAATGTTAATCATAATAATGATACTAATTCACATACAACTATTGATGAAGATTTAATGACTAGTTATGAAGCTTCAATTGATATAGAATATAACAATAATCATTATGAGTTACATAATGAATTAATGCATAAATCATTTCCAATCAATTCACTTAATTCAATGAAAAAACCAGAGAAACAAGTAACATTTCAAGATATTGTTGAAATTTCAACAATTTATTCTATTACAAATGAATCACAAGAGTCCATTTCACATCATTATGAAGATGGTGATGATGATGATGATGATGATGATGATGATGATGATGATGATGAAGAAGATGATTACAATGACGATGATGATGATGATGATGATGATGAGGAAGAAATGAAAATGACGAAACAGAATAGTGTAAATAAAAAACTAAAAAATCGATTGAAAAATGTAATCAAATCCAATGATCATAATGTTGGATTAGTCATAGCAACAATAGAACAAAATAACAAAAATAATTCAGATAATAATAATAATAATCAGATTCTTTCAGAAAAAGATTTATTAAGTGTAAGTGATAGATTAGAGTTATTTTATTTTTTTTGAAATTATACTCATTCATTACTGGTTAGTAACTGATTTAATGTTTATCTAGTCTACTATATTACTAATTAGACATAATGAATGGCCTTAGTGACTAGATTACTGTTATACATAGAGATTAGATTCTTTCTCTACCGCTTACTACTTCAGCACTCAAATACTAGAACCTACCATGTCACAAAAAAAATGGTAGAAGATGAATGAGAAGAAATATTATTTCAGTGTCAAATAAGATACAAAACATTCAGTTATTTATAGTTCTTAGTAGAAACGAAATCATCATTAAAGTCATCCTATCCATGTGAAGTGGTTTTTAACATTTGTTTAATCGGAAAGCTACAAGTTGAAAGTTTGGAATATTCTTCCAAAAAAGAGTAATTGAATGGAATGTCTTCAACTCTTTCTAAGTTTCTTAGAACTGCCTTGAGTTCAATTGAGGGTCGTTCTCACAATTATCTAGTCAAAAATACAATAGAAGACATTCAACAATGGAGTACAGTCGTTCCATTTCAATCATTTAAACATTAAATTGTTAAAATCATTGAGTAAAATTTCTCTGGAAACTGTCTTATTCATGACATAACAGAACACCATCAGTCTTTATTCACTAAATAGACGTCAAATACAAAATGCCTCAAATCCACCCACGACCTCACGTATTCTTCCAATAAACTATCATTTTCATTACAATACTACAACACAAATATATTTCATCAATCGTAATCATCTCCATTCTTATTTATTTCATTGATTATATCACTATAATAAATAAGAGTGGTAACAATCACTCACTTTTTAAGTAATTCAAATGACTCGCATTGAATTATCATCCATTTCGTTGCGATCACATTGACAGTTTCGGAATATTGTGATCGATAGTTAGTTAATAGAACCATTCACAACGTGTTCACTTTTCAACCATTCATTTATTCATTGAGTGGATGAGTGGATGTATGTGAGAGTGGTTCCATTAGAAATTTCATTTCAATATCCCACTTTCATCATCATATTTGTGTTATTTCATTCATACTCCTTTTGAAGAACTGTCGGTGATTGAATCGAGGATCTTCAAAGCCTGAATATAAGTCCTTACTATAAAACACATTGACGCAGTTTTCATTGGTACACTTTCAACTCAATTGATTTGCTTTTGAGCTCGATAATTATCTAATGTCATTTAATAATCTATCTCATTCTCGACATGTTATTACCTCAATCGTAACGGTTTCTCACTAGAACGTTGGAAATATCATGAAGTAATCCACTAGTTAACTGATCAACATAGTTTACTGTAGGGATTTTGTGGATATCGGTTAGATTTTTTAGTAATGGTTTTTGCGTTACCAGAGTGGTGATTGATGGAGTTGAAATATGTCGAGTGTGCTACAGTTCTCAATAGTCGCATTTGATAATCATCAAGTTATATCGCAACTTGATTGAGTTGAAATTAGGTGATTCTAAAGGTTAAGCCTCCTCAACGTCACCAGAAAGTCCTTGTTTTGATTCCTGAAAAGGTCATGGATGCGCACTAGTAAGAGGTCTCTTGCTAGGGCGAAACAGTTATCCAGTACTTTCTCTTCTTCAGTGGTACTCTTACAAAGATTGGCTTGTGACTAATACAACCTATAAATCAAACCAATCTAAAAAAACTCATTTAAATCATCCGTTTTCAGTTAACGTTTGATAGACTACATAATCAGTATTCATTTAGATATCTTTATTAAATGTTTCCAATAGTGTACGATTGCTTATTATCATACAAACAATATTCCTTAATTGCCAAATCTTGAATTAAATTCACCTTCTAAACTGCTTATTGAGGGGTTCTAGTCTAAAAGCCGACTGATCAGTTAATATTGGAATAGTCTAATTGTTTGTATACTTAGTCTATTATGATTATTTCAATTAAATACAGTATAAACATTTGAAAATAATTGAACTCCTTGCTTACAAGTTAATATTAAATTTATCGATAGTTAGAAGAGTCGATATACACATGATCAACGTATTCAATAAGATACGGAATAGATAAAGTACTTATCAGTATTTACATTGAGTTTTAAACGGCTTTGTTTAAAGTGTAGTATATAATATTGAAGATAATTTTTGGAATTTTAATAGTTGAGTTGATGAGTCAACCGAAGCAAGACCACTATGGAAAACCTGGAAGCACTGAACGGTCGTTTCGTCCCATCGTGGTACTCCTCTGCATTGCACATCCATGATCCCGCCACCCCGCGAGAATCGAACCCAGTCCTATCAGTCTCGCGCACGAGCACTCAACCACTAGATCACTAAGCCGACCGGCATCCTTCGGTGTTAATGTATAACTTCAACTGATCCACGAATTGAACGACACATCTATCATTGTTTCCAGTGATTAACTATGTCACAACAGACCCGATTGAACTCCATTGGTCACTGCCTCTCAATAGAACTCCAAAAAATACCTCTTGGAGACCGTCGCTAGGACCTAACAGTCCTGGGTTCGGATCTCGCGAGGCGGGATCACGGATGCACACTGCTGAGGAGTCCCATAGTAGGACTAAACGATCGTCTAGTGCTTCCATGTTTTCCATGGTGGTCTAGTTTTAAATGACTCATGATTTCAACTATTAAAATTACTATAATATCCACAAAACCTCTTCTGATAATTTTTGTCTTTCTCTATGTATGTTGAATAGTTTCAAATGGTAACAATTAAGTTTGAACCATTGATCTAACTTTAACCTCACTTGTATTCATCATAGAAGTTTGATTTGATTTATTTCGTCACTCTACCAAGGGAAAACATAAATAAATTCCTTAGGTAGAATACAAAACTTATAATTAGATCACCCATAACATGAGATATTATTATATTCTACGAACCTATTCAATAACATTATACAGTTTCTAAGGTATACCAAACCCACTATGCAAATATGGACATTGAAATGAGTAGGATTGTTTAAGTGCCAGATCGAATTATGATCCTCATTAATATATATCTATTTATCCTTCGGGCTCAAACAAGGATATGTAAACTAAAAACTTGAGTAGGTACATAGCTAATTGACTCTAATTTCTCACTTACCGACTGACCTTGGAAGTTAATGTGAGCACAAACATATGACATGTCTTTACATACCCAACCATTCATACAGATACAAACCATATTGCAACTTGACAGTCAGAATTTTACTAGACAATATCAAATGGATTTCCAATCAATATTTCACTCCTACAGAAATCACTCATGTTTTTAATAGTTCAGTATTAATAGCTCTGATTGAACAGGATAAACATACACTGAGTGACAAGGATTTCGAATTCCATAGGGAACAATAGTTCTGTCAAAATTAGAGATATACGTTACAGGCGATTATCAACTGATAGATAAGGTTTCTCTTCAAGTTACCAAGTCATATGATTTATATTCATGGAACGAAATTAGTTTCATCTGTTATAATGGTAATAATAATCATTACTCCTATTATTATTATTATTATTATTATTATTATTATTATCATCTCTACTGATTTGTAATAAAGATGGAATACTTCCGCTTCAGTTCTTATCCCAGCGATTTAAAAAATATAGTCGTAATAGTAATAATCGTTTTCACACTGTAGATGAAATATGGCTAGTAGTAGATTCTAGTATGGCAGTTTCACTATCCTAGCGACTTATCAGAGTGAAGATTAACAGAGAGATACAGATCCCTGCTGCCTTGACTAGTACCAATTGGGACAAAACACTCTTTCTGGACTCCACAGCTAGTAATACTATATGTATCCTTAAAAAAATTTTGTAACCAATGGCCATATTTAGACAATTTGTATAGGATCCATGCAAATGTCAATAAAGACCAATCAAAACTTAACCTTAAATACCAATCACGAGAAAATACATACTCCTACTAATCATGAATTGAATTAGTTTATTGGCCTAAATGCTTATCTTTACATAATTCATGAACAACGGTTTGTTCAACAGAGTCAATGGCATCATCATTATTCTTCATTTACTTACAAAGAAGAAAGAGATTCAAAGTCAATCGAGTGCTTTCATTTGTTATAATTGAGGCGAAATGAGTAGAGAGAAATCCTTCCATCTTTAAAATAGACTAACATGTTACATGGTTTATGTCATTTCACTAGTCTCATTATAGTTCATCCAAATTTTTGTAGTAAAAACTTTCGAAAGTCAAATCATATTTATAGGATTATGACGAATTAGTTACACTTCCCTCAGTGTATATATACATATAAATCAATCTGATCACTACAAAAATTTTCCTGGTCAGTAGTGAAATCGAGCTTTTTGTATATTCTAGACACATTTGTCAAATTCATTTGGTTTTCTTTTCGTGTTCTTCTCTTTGTTGCCAACTACTAAACCTTATCTAGTTCGTTTTTCCCCGCCAAGCCAACTTAGTTTAGACATGCATACACACACAGAGAGATATATGCTTATTGTTTTACACATTGGATAAATGCATGTCAATAAGAATGAGCCTATGACTAATAGTTTATTGAAGCTGTCATCAGTAAAATTTAGAGAAAAAAAAACAAACTTTCGTTAACACAATGCACGTAATCTATATTTATACCATCCCTCCCCATCTTTCGCGTGCGCTCTCTCCCTCTCTCTCTCTCTCTCTTTCTCCCACTCTATCTGTCTTACACAAATCTACAAATATGCATAAGTGTAGTTTACACTTGATCTTAGAAACAAACAAACAAACAAATAACCTAGTGAATAAACGATTAAATTCTCTACTAAATAAAACAAAACAAAATTCTATTATGCCTTTTTTTTTCTCTAGAAAATAATAATAAATTACAAAAAGAAAATTAATAATTTTCTGAAGTGGGTGGGGAGAAAGAGGAAGGGGGGGGAGGGACTGACGAAGTTGGCGATAAATGTTCAATCGGTATTACTATATTGAAACTATTGATTTTTAAGCGCGCTTATACATACCA